CTGAGGCGAACTTTTCATACTTTTAGTTAAGCTGCACGATAGTAAATAGTACAATCCCACTGATAAATTTGTTAAATATGAAACCAATTTCAGAATTTCAGCTACGTTTTATCAGATAATTCGCTTACTCTACCTGTGCAATTCTCTAATTAAACCATCAATAAGTAATGACAGAGGAAGTAATTTAGCCCCGGAAACCCTTAAAGCTGGTAGATGTGTACGGAAGATAATCACTGGTCTTGCTGTATAACTCTGTATAAGGTATAAACTGCGCCTTTTTAGCCATATAATCGACTCACAATCTTGCTATGGCCATCCCGTAGTAAATCCAGGGTACGAAAGGCGTCAATATGCGCACCGCACGTTCTATTGCTTGTATTTTCACTAGGCGCATCGGAATGTAGATATAAATGCCGATTGTAGCGATAAGTTTCGTATAGGTGGCGCTTGGACCTTCATTGACAACGTTTCCTTGGTAACGTCCTAACTAACCAGCAAGTTGGAACCACCTCAGTGATGTCATATCAGCTCTTTATAATGGCTTTTGTTGCTGCTAAAAAGGCAAAAAGGGAGATGGAGAAAAGACTTTTTTTCCATATCAGTTCCAAAAATTGCACACATTAAGTTATCTTTCACTCGTATTATTGGATTGATGTGAATGTTAAACGTAAATAAGAAAAAAAACGTTTGATAATCATTTAGCCGAATAAGTCTCTTGAACTTAATGCCATTTGTGGGCATTGCTGCTCTGAAGGTAGAAAAGTAAATTTACGAGAAAAGGGCGAGATAAGTAATCTGCAAGCCTGCCGGAAACTTCTGATTTTAACCAGTAGCCTTGAATGGAAGTTAAATGTCACAGGTTTTGCACGATAACATCAAGGAATCTTGTTACCCAAAAATTGATTGAATGTCTGGGTTGAAGTCCATCATTTACAACGTGATAAATGCCAAATATTAAGTAAACTGCCATCGGACTGCCAGGTGAATCTCTATTTCATGAGAACAATACAAAACGACGGTAATATAGCAATAATCACAGACAGTAAAGAATAAACCGATATCAACGAGCGCGTCTGACGTAAAGTCTTCGAAATATCTTCTTCCTGATC